GCGGTCCTGGCGCAAGCTGCTCCAGGGACGGCGCCGACGTCGGTTCTTGTGCCGGATGAGAAACGTCCCAGGCGAAAACGCGTGCAGTCGTCGAAGAAGGTCAAGCGCGTAGCGTGCACCTCGCAGCGACGTCTCCTCCCAGCGGACCGGCGATGTCGGCGTAGAGCAGCTGGCATGGCCCCAGCGCTGCGTGGAGCAGACTGCTTCGGGATGGAGGCGCGCGTGCTCTTGCCAAGCGCACATGGTCCACAGGTGACGATGTGCTTGGAAGAGGCCTGGGCAATCTGCTGCCGGATGGCGTCGACGGCCGCGCTGCTGCGATGGCCTAGCACGTCGTGTGCAGAGGCACCCTCGTCAGCATCCTCGGCTTCCCCATCGCTGCTGTGCACGAGCTCCCCCGCAAGCGCCGTGGCTTGTTGGGAGGTCGTGGTGCTGGCGTAGAGGAAGAGGTGGCCGGTGTCCTTGGACGGCAGCAGAGGCACGCTCCATGTGGCAAACTGGATGCGGCTGTCGTCCACAGCAATGACGACGGAAGCACCACGACGCGCGCGAGTCACCAGGTTCAGCGCCAGTATGTTGTACTTGATGTCGGGGACATGCAGCACGTTCTTCAGCGTGATGGTGCCTGGAGCGCCGTCGGTGCCAGTCACGCGGAGCACGGCGTCGCCCTTGCCGATGACCGTGACGGTCTGGTTGTTGGCAACGGTGACGTGCTGCGTGACGGCGATGTAGTTGGTGAGGAGGGAGGCGTCGCTGGTGATGTGCGCCGTGGCACCGCTGTCAGCGAGCCACAGCTGTGGTGGCACTGGTCCGATGGCGTGGCCCTCCTCCTCGCCCTCGGGCTGCAGCATGAGGGCATCGTGGTGGACGGCGAAGGTTTCCACGCGCTGAGGGCCGTGGCTGACGACGGCCGCCTTCTTGAATGGAGCTGCTCCTCCGTGCTGTGGGCGAGAGGATCCTGGCCGCTTGCCGTTGCCGTTGTTGAGAGTCAGTGAGTTTCTGTTTTGTGTTGAGTCCTTCCTAATTTGCCTTCTCATGTGGTTTTGTCTTGTTTGCCAACAACACCTGCTTTGTGGTTTTTCCGTTGACAAACATTCCTTTCTCTCTGCTGGCATGTGTGCCAACTGCCTCTCCTCTCCTCCTCCTTCTGCACACGTGAGTTGTGTGTCATGTGTGCCATGTGTGTGTGCATGCCCGTCATGCTTGGCAAATGCCATGTGTGCGTGCCATGCAGTGTTGTGAAGTGTTGTCTGTTGTGTATGCTTGCCTGCAAGCATTCATGCCATGCTTAGCATTGCTCTGCGCGCATGTATGCATGCTGCTCATTGTTTAGATTGTTTGTGTTCGCGCACACGCTGCCCATGTCGCCTTGGCAGCGTCATTGACTGTGTGTGCACTTGTCTAGTGTTTGTTTGAGCGTGCTGCCCGAGTTGATTTGGCAGTGCTTGTTCATTCTCCTTGTGTTCTTGTTTGTTGCGTTTGCCTACAGTAAACACACACACACCACCTGTCGTGTCTCAACAGATTATGAGACCCAGCCACTCCTGATCATCATCGCCACTTGTCTCACACTCGCTTGTGCTTCTTCTCTCCCTTCTGCTTGTTCCCCTCTCTTGTTTCTCCATCACCTTCCTTGAGCGTGCAGTATGTCTGACCCGTCGGACCACGTCGTTTCCACGCCAGGATTCAAGATGGACCTGCCCAAGTTCTCTGGCTCGCCCGGCACCTTTCATGCGTGGAGCATTCGCATGAAGATGGCGCTCAAGCTCCGCGGCGACGAGGTCTGGGCAGCTGTGGAGGCAGGAGCATCGTCATCGGGAGGTCCAAGCTCAGCGACACGCTCAAGTGCAAGGAGACCGACAGCAGGAGATCACGCCAACCTCACCGCTGCAAACCTCAACGCGTCCACGCTCTCAGGCTACCCCCTTCTCCTCTTCACCAACGGAGAAGCAGACGTCAACGCCGGCCAAGGATGGGCCCGGCTCAAGGACCACTACGCTTCGCAGGACCGCCTCCGCATCGCAGAGCTCAAGGAGGCGCAGCTTCACGTTCCCTGCGGCAACCTGGCCCGCTTCTTCGAGCGACACATGGAGCTGCAGCAGCAGTTGCAGGACGCAGGCGTGCGCCAGGACAACGAGGACCTCTTCACCATCGTCTGGAAGCAGCTGCCACGCTGGACAGCCCCGCTCACGCTTCCCTACTTTGCCAGTGGCCGCTTTCCCTCCCTCCTCGAGCTCAGCATCAGGCTGCAGCAGTTGGAGCAGCAGATGCGTGGTTCACGCACACGGCCGCAGGCAGGCGGCTTCATGGCAAGTGCACCGCCACGCAGAGGTGGAAGACGCGGCTTCTCCAACAACAGCAACAACCACGGACGCCAGGGACGCAACAACGGCGGTGGTAACGGCAACGGCAACGGCAAGGGGCGCCGCTTCCGTGGCAACTGTCACTACTGTGGCAAGTATGGACACCGTGCAGCAGAGTGTCGCAAGAAGCAACGCGACAACGGAGCAACAGGCTTCACTGCACAGGCACAGCATCAACATGATCAAGGCGCAGCAACCTTCGTCGCTGCCACAGCTACTACACCCACGCAGCTGCATGACCCACTCACGTGGCTTGCAGACACGGGTGCTTCACACCACCTCACCTTCGTCAAGGACGCCTTCGTGGAGCTGACACCGCACCTGCAACAGCACCATCCACGCCACATCACTGCGTTTGGCGGCACACGTGTGCCCGTGCGCGGTGTTGGCTCTGTGCTGTTGCATGCACGCACGACGAGCGGAGCTACGATGCAGATTGTGCTACAGGAGTGCCTCTACGTGCCCGAGGGCCAGGCCAACCTCATCGCCCTCGGTCGTCTGACCCGGGACAGCAGCGGCAGGCCAACGGGCCACTCGCAGCGTGATGGCGCTGATGGGCACTACGTGCGCTTCAGCCACGGAGCCGAGGTCAAGCTGAAGGAGCGCAACAGCCTCCGATGCTGGCCCATTGTTGCTGTTGGTCCATCCACGGCACACGGTCTCACCGCCGATGCCTGCAAGCAACCACAGCAACCCGCAGCAGCTCCTGCAGCCCAGAGCAAAGCACAGACACCATCGATGCATGAGGTGCTTGGCCACCGCAACGACAACGACGTGCAGAAGTACTGCAAGCTGATGGGCATCGACGATCGCAACGCCATCAGCAGCAAGCAGTGTACAACGTGCGCAGTGACCAAGAGCACTCGTCACAGCGTCAGCAAGCACGCGGAGCGCACACAGGTGCCCGGCGAGCGCATCCACGCCGACATCGTCGACTGGACCGCGGACTCACCCACGGGCAAGCGCTACAGCCTCGTCATCGTCGATGAGGGCAGTAAGCTCTTACATGCAGTCCACCTCAACGCCAAGAAGGACGCAGTTGCCGCGTTCCAGTCTTTCCTGCGCGAGACCAAGCTCCCCATCTCGCCCACAACAACAGCACTCCAGACGGATTCCGATGCCATCTTCCTCGGAGCTGACTTCCAGGCCATCGTCAAGAAGCACCTGAAGCAGCACCAGCAGTCCCCGCCGTACACCCAGGCGCAGAACGGCATCGTCGAGCGACAGGTGCGCACCCTCTCCGACATGGTGCGAGCCATGATCACGGGTGCAGGCCTTGACGCATCGTACTGGAGCCTCGCCTGCAACCACGCCCTGCACATCCTCAACAACATGCCTCGCCCTTCCCTCCACGGCAAGACACCGCTGCAGATTGTCACGGGCTCGCTGCCCAAGCACGTGCCGCAGCTGCACATCTTCGGGCAGCCGGCCGTCGTCCACATCAGCACACAGCGCGGACGCCTGCAGCCCAAGGGTCGTCGAGGCATCTACGTCGGCCACAACAGCAGCAGCAACAGCCACCTCGTCTACTTCGCAGACACAAACACTGTTGTGTCCTCCATCCACGTCCGCTTCCTTCCCTTCTCCAAGGCCGATGTCATGGATGAGGGGGAGGAGCAAGTGCAGACATCCACGACATCGTCCATGCTCCAGCTTCCCAGTGCACGTGACAGCAGCAACAGCACCACTGACGGTGAGCCACCAACAGTTCACATCGACGAGGAGCAGGACGAGGATGTCGAGACAGACTTCCTGCTCACGGACTTTGACGCCGACAGCAGCAGCGACACCAACGACGCCAACTACGACCCCGACACAACAGATGCAAGCGACACCGAGGCAGGCGCGTTCACAGCAAGCAGCAGTGGCGACACCAGCCTCACTGAGCCTGCAAGCATCAAGCAGGCACTCAAGAGCCAGCAACGCAAGCAGTGGACTCAGGCATGCTTGGAGGAGATCGGGGCGATGGAGCGCAACGGCGTCATCAAGCTCATCCCACGCAGCGCAGTGCCACGGCAGCACACGCCTCTCAAGTCGCGCTTCGTCTTCAAGGTGAAGCGTGATGCGGAAGGCACGCCGACGCGCTTCAAGGCACGCTGGGTCGCCAAGGGCTTCAGCCAACGACCGGGCATCGACTTCCACCAGACCTACGCCCCAACACCAGCAGCCAAGACCATCCTCACTGTGCTCGCCGTCTCCCTGCAACGACAGCACCAGCTGCACCAGCTCGACTTCAAGTCGGCTTACCTGCAGGCTGATCTCAAGGAGGAGCTGTACATGGAGCTGCCGCCGCACTTCACCGACATCGGCGACGGCGCTCAACGCTACGCGGGCAAGGTGTGCCGGCTGCTCAAGCCGCTCTACGGCCTCAAGCAAGCTGGCCGTGCATGGGCCAAGAAGCTGCACACCTTCCTCAAGACCAACGGATGGGCGCAAAGCAATGTCGACGCCTGCCTCTTCACCAAGCTCCACGACGACGGACAGCGCACATGGATCATCACGTACGTCGACGACCTCATCATCAGCGGCAGCAGCGAGCGCCACATCCGTGCCTGCAAGCAGCAGATCAAGGAGAGCTTCGAGGCAGAGGACCTGGGCCCGCTCACCTGGTACCTGGGCCTTCACCTGACGTCACCAGCTGACGGGGTGTTGCACATTGCGCAGACACAGGCCATCAACGACATCGTCAACGACTACAACCTGGCAGCGGCAACCAGCGTGTCCACGCCCATGCGTGTTGGCATCGACGCCTCCAGCATCAGCGAGCAGCCCGACCGACGCTTGCCTTTCCGCAACCTCGTCGGCTCGCTGTTGTACCTGGCCAACCGCACCAGACCAGACGTCAGCTTCGCGTGCGGACTGCTCTGCCGTTACATGGACCGTTACACGACGGTCCACTGGCAGGCAGCCAAGCACGTCGTGCGGTACCTGAAGGCGACGAGCCAGCACGGCCTCCTCTTCAAGCGACGCAGCGGCACGCGCAAGGACCAGCCGCTGGACCTTAGAGAGTTTTTACAAACGGCATTGCCGGTGAAATTGCCGATCAACCCCCATTTTTGCTGACTCAGACGTGCCGCTTCCGTCAAACCGCTTCGGCAACGGCAACGATTGACCACTAATCATGGCAAACTCTGGCCGGCTTGTGGCAATTGCCGGTGAGGACGCTTCTTGAGCGCTGCCGCAACAATTCTTGCTGCGGTTCGTGGTGTCGATGTGTTCGCGCCACTTTGTTCTGGATGGTGGTGGCGGTGATTGGTGGTGGTGGAATGGAGTCCGTGCCGATCCCAACGGCGTCGCTGCTACTGCAGGAGTGGCAGCAGCCACAACAACAGCAGCAGCAGCCACAACAACAGCAGCCACAACAACAGCAGCAGCAGCAACAGCAGCAGCAACAGCAGCAGCCACAGCAGCAGCAACAGCAGCAGCAACAGCAGCAGCAACAACACGCAGCATACGAGGAGGCCTGTCGCGATAGCGGGCTCACAACCCGTAGTCCCCTACCACCATCTCCTACACAACAACAAGGTACATCGTCCACTTCGCCAGTCGAGCGACACCGCCTCTCAGCACGGGTCACTTGGACGGACGAGTTCAAGGTATGTGCCTGTGTGTGCCTGTGTGTGTGTGTTGTTTGTTTGTGTGTGCATCGGTGTCTGTGTCTGTGTCTGTGTGTGTCTGTGCGTGTCTGTCTGCGTGTGCGTCTGTGCGTGTCTGTGTGTGCCTGTGTGTGTATGTGTGTGCCTGTGTGTGTATGTGTGTGCCTGTGTGTGCATATTCGCCTCAGTGAAGCTCATTTGGCTTGCACTGTTGGGTGTGAACATGTCATTCTGCAAACACATAGGCCGACGTTATCAACATTGCAATT